GGGGTCTTCAGATTTCCCAAATTCACTGACAAGTCAACCCAGTTGGGCCTTTTCACAATCCACAGAAAACCACGAACCAGCAGGGACAAGTGTAGTCCAAAGGGAAGTGCATTTAAAACTGATGGTGCAGGGCACATTTTTACACAGAGGGTGGTGGGAGTGTGGAACAGGCTGTTGATTGCGATACCCTGGAGTCTTCCCAGACACAGCTGGAGGAGAGCCTTGGATCAACAAGCTGTAAGACGCCCGATGAGCTGCATGGGCTGAACGTAACCTTTCTCAAGCGATCCTGTCACGAGGATGAGCTCGTGGCCCAGCCCAGACTTCAACAACCAGCATGTAGCTTTGTGCCCGTATTCTGTTCAGCAGAGTGGAAATAAGGGGATCCACAGGGTGGAGCACCAGTCCACTGGACCCGTAGTGCTGGGAGCGCTGGATGGAGTGGAACAGCAAGAGTGCTTTTCTCACGGGTAAACCTGCAACAGTATTGCTAGAATGCCAATACAGACTATAGCAAACAGGAGGGTCCTCGGGCACTGCTCCTGTGAGGCGGGTTAAAGCTCAGATCAGAACCGGGCCGGGCAGAGCCTCGACTGTAGAACCCATGAGCTCTGGATATCGAACTCTCTCTGCCCTCTGTTTAGCGACCCAGCTCATCCCATCCTGTCCCGTCCCGTCCCGCCTGGCTACCTTATCCACCCTCAGAAGGCCCTACGCCTCTCTCCCTGGTCTATCCCAACCGGCACCCACGAGCCTTCCCAGCATCCCGCTGCCCGAGGGCGCGCCCTTTCCTGTCGGATTTCCACGCCGCCTGCCTGCCTGGAAGCAGGGAGCTCCCTCAGGGATTCCCCCGGCTCGCCCTGGGAGCCGCGGTGGCCGAGAAGCAGGACGTCGCCGCAGAAGGGCCGGGCTTTCGTTTCAATTAAACAATTAACCTCATCCTCTTCCTTGTAAGACAGGCGAGGTCTTCTCCAGCTGATTACACTGAATGCCACTTCATTAAAGGGACAGTGACCTATAAAGACCCCCAGAGCCTGGCGAGGAGCATCACAGCTCTCCAGGTAATTAAATAATTAGACTCGCTATGTAACGACAGCAGGCCCTGCAGGAGCTGACTCCAAGTTCCCTGTGGTCCACAGCGCTGTCTTGGTGTTGTTTTCTTTTGCTCTGTATTGTCTGTGAACACACACACACATATATAATTATTTTCTCCTGTCAGTGCTGAGACTCCGCTGTGGAAGGGGATTTATAATTCCTCCTTATTGCTGTCCTGCTCTGTGCAGGCGACTCTAATCAGCGCCAGGAAGCTACACGAGCAGCTTTAATCTCCAGGCGTCTCCGGGGATCAAACGGGGAGAAGGAGGAGTGGGTCTGTGCAGCCCCGGCTGGGGGCGAGGATGGTGCACGGCCTGCTGGGGAGGGAGGCGCTGGCTTCTTCTCCAATGAGCTACAGCCGTCAGCGACGGCTCGCGCCTCTCGGGAATGAGTCAGCCCGAATTGTCCCACGATTCACATTTAGATCGGGACACTGGCTATCCGATTCCTTAGCGGACGTCTTTGGCTGTCAGTTCAGCGCTCGGCACTGAAAAGGGCAAGCACTAGTGAGAGTGAAGGGCCTGCAGGGTGTGTGCCCCTCCTCCATTGGTGGCATGGCAATAAAAATCCCGTTTACCAGCTCATCCCGCCGACGCCCAGCACGGCCAGCCCTGATAATCCTACAGAGGCGGGCCAGGGCCGTGTGAAAGCTGTCGAGGGGCCCTGAGGGGCCCTGAGGAGCACACGCAGAACCCTGCGGCCAGGGGTCACTGGCTTGAGTCTGGGCTGGGCCACGAGCTCATCCTTGTGACAGGATCGCTCCCAGCGTGAGGAGAAATCCTGCATCATGGGCAGGCACTCAGACACCACGGGCTCCCCTGGCAGAACAGCATCTCCTGTCATTTCAGGAGCCAGCAGACCTGCGTTGGCATCGGTTAGAGGCGCCACTCCTTGGACCGGCACTCTCTGTCCCAGGTCAGCACAGAGCTTGCAGCGTGTCCGCTGGCAAGGGGCTCAGATGGGTATCTGAAATTTAAAGGAAAATAACGAGGCCACAGACTCCCAGCCTGGCCTAAAACACACACACATACGCTGCACTGAACAGAGGCAGGATTCCGCTGCTGGTCCGGAACTGCGGTTCCGGCAGAGTCGGGATCAAGCTGCTGGTCCGGAACTGCGGTTCCGGCAGAGTCGGGATCAACGGTCTTATAGGCTAAAGCGCTATGGGCTTTTTATTAAACTGATGGAAAAACATCTGAGCTTGTATAAAAAAATATGAATTCATCAACGGTTTTATTTTCTAACTCGCTCATCAATCTCAATTTTAAAGCAGACCTGTAATGCAGGTTGCGTGGCCCTGAATTGGGTTGAATAATTTAGTCAACGGTCCAGACAATTAACGGAGAATCGATGTGCAGCCCAGCACAAAGGCAGGGAGATGAAGAGGGTGCACTGTTGAGGCTCAGGCAGCAGGGACAGGGGCAGACAGTGTGTGTGTGTGTGTGTGTGTGTGTGTGTGTGTGTGTGTGTGTGTGTGTGTGTGTGTGTGTGTGTGTGTGTGTGTGTGTGTGTGTGTGTGTTTTGGGGGGGGCACGCATCTCATCACAGAGCTATGAATGATTTAACAGGCAAAAAAGACCAGAATGATAATACACAGTCACCCAGAACAGCACAACCACCCTCCGCCCAGTGCGCACACACTCTCCCTTTCTTGTTCTCCAGATAAAATCTGCACTGTCCCCCCTGCACCCACCGCCCAAAACAAACTTCTGCTTGATCCATCAGGCCTTCTCCCTTGCAACAATGTAGGCTGCCTACTGCTGTGTTTGTGACTCCTCCTTTTCATGCTTGGTGTTGAGGCTCAGCTGTTCATCTGGCTGGGACAGGGCTCTGTGTGTGTATCCATATACAGACGCTCACGAGCTGCAGTAATTGCCTCTGTGCTCTCTGTAAACACTGTCCCTGCACGCTTCTCTCTCAAACACAGTTGATGTGTCTGTGGCTTCTTCCCACCTCATTAGGAGTGTTCAGCACAGAGGCTCACCACACGGCTCTGACCCCTGTCAGTGACGAGGGCGTGTGTGTGTGTGGGGGGGTTGCTGCCCATGCCGACACTCTCTCCTGGTCTGAGCCCCCCCCACCGGCTGTGATGTCTGTGATGGCTGTGTGGGAGGGTGGGGGGTACTGGGCTCTAAGCACACTGTGTTAACCAGCCTTAATGAGGTGGGCAGAGCCACAGTCATCATTTACAGCCATTAGCAGAGTGACCGCTTCTCTCTGCTCTTCTCCGCTCTCTTGCTCTGTCATCTCCTCGCCCCTCTCTTCTCATCTCTTCCGCCTGTACGTCCCTCCTCGTCCGTTCCTCTCAAACCTCCCCCTGTCCATCCTACTCGCTGTCCTTTCCTCTCACCCCCCTGTCCATCCCTCTCACCCTCCCCTGTCCATCCCTCTCACCCTCCCCTGTCCATCC